AGCTAGAAGAGAAGGAGCATCTTCCTCAATCCAAGTCTTCTTTAATTTCTTCTATTTTTCTTCTTCCATCCTTTATGGAGTAATCCTCTAAGGTACTAGGGGTTCTAAACTCCAAACCCTAGTTTTAGGGTTTATCATGCATGTATGGATATTTTATTGTTTGAATGATTGAATGTATTTATCTAGTTGATTTAATTGCTATTCTATCATAGAATGTGTTTGTGGTAGGACGCCCCAATCTTTTATATTAGCCAACTTTATGCTTCCACACTGGGTATGGAGTTCTACGGTTAGACGAATGCTTAATGAGCCAAATGCTTAATGCCCCAGATACAATAGCCTAGATCGATGTGACTATACATGGGTTTAGGGGAGGCGTGTGGATAACCACGAAAGCCCACGAAAAAGAGCTCACTCACAATATTCGATAGCCCTAAGTATGGTTTGATCAATCTCTAGTCTAGTTATCTCCTCAAATCCTCCACTCAAACCTCCAAAATTGATTAACTAATTAGTAAATAGGTAGGAAGTAGGCTAGGGTACTAGGACTCGAGTAAAATACGACATTGATTACCACTATACGACAATTCCGTCTTAGGTTAAACTTGGCTTAAGATGGGGTAGTTGTTGACACGTGGTAACCATTGAAAATAATCTACACGGATCGAAGTGATCAAGCTTTTTGGCGCCGTTGCCGGGGACCCTTGGTAACTAGTAGAAAACCATTAAGTTGCTAGTTAGTCTTTACCTTGTTTTATTTGTTTGTTTTGTGTTGTGTTTTTGTGTTTTTGTTATTTACTTGTTTGTTTGTTTCGTTTTGTTGTGTTTTTGTTTGTGTTTTGTTACTTTAGTGTGTTTTTCGTTGTGTGTTTTGTAATCCAACTTCATACGTCAAGGGTTGTTGAGGTTGTCTTTTGTAGCACCCTTGTATGCGAAGAAGGGATTCTTTGGAAATCTTACCTCTTGATATAGAAATCGAGAGAACCCTTCGGAATCTAAGAAGAGTTGCTAGAGCTCGAACTCCACCAATGGCAGATCAACAAGCTCAAGTTCCACCTAGGACAAGAACAATGGGTTCTTATTCAAGACCAAGTGTGGATAATGTGCAATCACCAATTCTTCATCTGACATCGCCCAACAATGATTACGAGATAAAGGCGGGCACAATTCAATGCTTCAAAGTGCGGTTCAATTCAATGGGATGATGAGTGAAGATGCATATGCACATGTCAAGTCATTTTACGAATTGACGGATGGAATCAGAGTAAATGGAGTCCCTCAAGAGGCTATTCAATTAAGATTATTTTTGTTTACCTTGAGTGGCGTGACAAAGAAATGGTTGAACAATCAACCACATCACTCTATCACCTCAGAGGATGATCTTTGTAATAAGTTCTTCGCAAGCTACATTCCATCTTCTAAGACGGCTATGATGAGAAGTGAGATCACTATGTTCTGTCAAGAAGCGGATGAACCATTGGTTGAAGCATGAGAAAGATTTACATCTCTCTTACTTAAGTGTCCCCATCATGGCATTGCCGATTGGTTACAAGTGGAAAGTTTTTATAATGGGTTGACAAAAACGTCACGAAGCCTTATTGATGCGACTAGTGGAGGTGCCATTTGGAACAAAGAAGTTGGAGAACTTCAACAATTGATCACAGAAGTGGCCCTCAATAGCTACAATTGGGGTGACAGAAGAAGAGGCAAGAGCTTATCAAGTTGCATCAACGACGAAAGGCGATGGAAAATAACTTATGAAATGTGATTGGTGTGGTGAATTAAGTCATACCATGGAAGAGTGTAAGTCTATGACTGAGGCTTCACTTCAATTTGAACAAGCCAACTTTGTTGGAGGTCAATCTCGAGGGAACAACCCTCATAGCTCAACATATAATCCGGGTTGGAGGAATCGCCCTAATTTTCTTTGGTCTTCTCCAAAGGATAAGAAACCTCTGGGTTTTCAATCTCAAGCTCCATCGCAAAATACTTATCAAAGACCAAGCAAACCATCATATCAAGGAGCATATCAAGAACAAAGTCGACCCTCCAAAGGTCGAGTCTCTAAACTTGAAGAGTTGATGGGACAATTTGTTGCACACTCCAACAAGAAGTTTGAAGCTAATTATAAGTTCATAGAGACTACCTCAACCAAATTCTCAAGTTTGGAGGCGGGGCAAATGAATCAACAAGCTTTGCTTCAAAATCTTGAAGCCCAACTAAGCTTGTTGGCTGAAACTCTATCATTGAGAACTCAAGGAACCCTACTAGGTAATACCGAGCCTAACCCAAAGCAAGGTTGTCATGTGATAACTCTAAGGAGTGGCCGACCCTTGAAGGAGATTCGAATCTCAACTCCAAGGATCCCGGTATGAGAAGTTCAACGTGAAGTTGTTCAAGAAGAAGAGATAGTTCGGGAGGAAGTTCAACCTTCCATTGTAAATCAAGATTGAAGACGAGGAGAAATCTAAGAAGACTCATGTACCAGAGCCAACACCGAAAGTTCCTTATCCTAAATGGTTATTTGATAGTGATCTTTATCATGAATGTGATCCGTGGAAGGATACCTTGAAGCAATTGAAGGTAACAGACCATTTCCTAGATATGGTAATGAAGATCCCAAAATATACTAAATTCTTGAAGGAAATATTGTCGGGAAAGAGAAAAATGGAAGAAGTGGCTATGGTATCCGCTAGTGAAGTTGCTTCGGCATCCATTGGGTGTGGAGAATTTCCCCCAAAGCTAAGAGATCCAGTCATTTTCACTATTCCATGCACTTTCGAAGACAATACTTTTTGGAGTCCGTTAGCCGACTTGGGGTCTCGCATCAACATTATGCCTACACGGATATTCAATGAATTAGAAGTTGTACCAATCATACCTACTCAGATGCGGATTGAGTTGGCAAATAGGTCCATTGTCAAACCAAGAGGAATTATAGAGAATATCTTGGTGAAATGTGCTCATTTTGTGTATCATGTGGACTTCGCGGTTCTCGACACGGAGGGGTGTGATGCATCTATCATCCTATGCCGACCATTCTTAGCCACGACACGGACTATCATTGATGTAAGTGGAAGCAAGATCACCTTAAGGTTTGGTGAGGAGGAAATCAGCTAAAAGATGACTCCAATCCCAAATTTTCACAAGTATTTCAAGTGGGATGATGTCATGATGGATTGTGAGCCGGTTACACCTCCTACCTGTAACACCCTACCCTATACGTTTTGCCTAATCATATTGTTCATACAATTGCAGCGGAATTAATCTCGGGTGTTACACTAATTAACAAAATTTATCCAAATAAAATTTCGACATGAATTACTCGCGTAATGGGCTAACAGTTCTTCCATCTAATCCTGCAAAATAATTCATCTAAATCCATGCATTCATAGATAAACATATACACTCACTGCCATATGCATTGGCTTTTCATAGCCATAGTCACCGTTTCATGTTACACAACTGCATACTATACTGATACATGCTATAATCGTCACAACTTACATAATTACACAAATATACACATATCATCAACTTTCCACACCTGTGGATATCTCACACTACATCAGAAGCTAGTATGCACATGAAAAACGTTCTCAAAACATTTTACAAAAAGGTGTGGATCACTGGCCAAAATCCCGAGTAGTAGTCCAAGCACAGAATAGTTGAAGACTATACCTCATCTTGCCTTCAACTCTTGCTCAGCTCCCACCTATACAACTATCTACTGCTGCTGATGATGATGATCTGCTTACACATGGCATAAGCAGAGAGAAAGGATAAAGAGGGTCAGCTCATAGCTGAGTGAGATAATCATAGCATCGTGAGTTCATAACAGAGCATACCCCTACCATACATCTAGCAAACAAGCCAAAGCAATAGGATCAGACCTCAGACATCCGACATCCCAATAGGCAAAAGACTCAACCACCTTGACTTATGCATATGCATCTTATCATGTTTTAATCATAGGCGCCTGGCTACTCCCATGCTAATAACTCTCCCGGGAAACATACCCCACATCCCGTCGGATGTAGTCATACATACCCCAACATCCCGTCGGATGTGGTCATACATACCCCACACCACTATAGGTGTAGTCATACCCCGACACCACTCTGGGTGTGGTCATATCTCGTAAGAAATCTTCAGTCACCACCACAAGAGAGGTGTGACTATCATACATATCATAATAGAGTAATAGCATGGGGAGCCCTAATTACTATGTAGTTGACCGTGAGACCACAACACTCATATTGGTATCCTTATACATGATTCATATCTCATCTTGCTTAATCATAATTCGTTACTTGCACATATACTTAACCTGGCCATGATTGGCTCAACATAGGTATATCAGGAGTCGTATAATAGCACTTCCTCGGGATAAACCCTCGTGCAAGCCATCCTCCTTAAACATCATAATATCACCATGAGATATATATTTTCCCACTTGTACATCCAAATACATCAATCATGAAATGTCATACCCAATCAACTTTTCGAACCATCATAAGGCATATCAACAGTCAAGCCCACAATTTGCAACATATACGAAATCATCAGCATAAACAAGGTTCATATTGATTAAGGCAAGTCAATAATATCATACAGCAATCCAGGGTTCAACATATAGCACAAAAGTTCATACACCCCTAATCATGTCATTCTAGTTCACCTAGATCAACTCTAAGCATCAATATAATTATCGTGATACGACAAACCCGGTATGCCGTGCTAATCCCTCACTAGTTCTGGTCGTTCAAACACCGGTTCTAGCCTCCCGTACTAAAACGTCAATTTCATGAACGAACCCCGAATTAAAATCCGAGACCGTCCTAATATCCCCTGCAGTATCCCCGTCAATATTAGTTCTAGGCTCCGGGTCAAATTCTCGATAAAAACACATCAAACCCTGGCCGGAGCTAAATTCAGCGATTTGGACCCCGACCTAAATAATAGCCGAAAGTCAGGGATTAGAACTAGAGGATTGATTACCTCGCTGCAGGAAGCTCGTATATGAAATTTGGGCTCAATCCGGCTTCCGGATACTCCGAAACCCTAATTTGGCTTATCGGGAATTCAAGAAATTCCTGATCCAAAAACTCGTTTTAAAGCTTTAAATCGATAAATCACGATGTATGGATGAATTAGGCATTACTTACGGGATTTTTGGATCACTAGGGCTCAAGATTGGAGCTTTGGAATTTTTTTCCCAGGAGCTCTCTGCGTGCTCTGCTTCTCGGCTTTCTCTCGTTTCAGAAATTGAGAAAATGATGATGGAGATGAGAATTAAAAGGGACGGGGAAAAGGGTTTATATATATTCCCGTCCGCTTAGTTAATATATATATATATATATATATATATATAATTAATACGTATACTTATTCGATCGATCGATAATTCGATTTTCGTCGAAATAGTGTCGAAATGCTCGATTTTAAATCGCGAACTTTCTAGCGATCGAAATATGGGTTTTGCCGGAACGGGATGTTACACTACCACTCCAGCTTCGAGCCCTGAGATAGAGTGGTTCAATATGGTCTCCCATGTTGATCCCCACAAGAATCGAGTTGAAGGTGCAATCGACTCTTTCAAGATCATGAAGAGACCGGGTAAGGAGAAGTTTACATGCAAAAGGGAAGCCCAAGAGTTTTTCAAAGTTCCTCACCTTTTCGATGGTCATGGGAAGAAACTTCAATGATTCATCTTCGAGAAGAGACATCCCAAGAAAGGAAGTCGGATGGTTATGGATGACTTAGCTCCTATTTCTGAAGATGAAAAATTCGGGGAATGCTACAAGCCATTCATGGACGATGATATTTCTGCAAGGAAGCTTGACCCTCACCATCCTCCACATCAATCTTCGAGTGGATCTCTCCTATCTCAAGCACCAGATGAGGCATCCGAGAGGCTCCATGGTCTTCACTTGGGACATCACCATAAGTATGATTTCTACGAAGAAACATCGGTGAAGGATGGAGATCTTGCCTTTTGATCTCAAGGAGTCAAGTCCGGCGAAAAGACTCTTAAAGACGCGCTTGTTGGAAGGTAACCCAACCACTCAATTTGCGTATCTTTTCCCTTTTTCTTTGTGAATAATTGCTTAAGTAGTAGATTAGGGATGCATTGAGAATGATTGATATAACTCAACCCTTGCCTTTGGATGTTTGAATGATTTAGATGAATGATTGGGCTTAGAAAAGAGGAGAATGTGTGTTGTCCTCAATAGGGCAAAGATCATGGTTGGAAGCCTAAAGATCGCAGTCGCAATCTTGGTATCTCAGCCTGCGATCATGCCCGTCAATATTTAAATGAAGGCAACTCTCATTAGATCTTTGTGTGTTCATTTCACCCCATCTTTCTAGATCTACATGCCATGTCTCTCCACTCCTCTTAGTCTTTTGAGTTTACCCTCTCTAGTTTCATTTTCCAACATCTTTTTAGAGGAATTATTAATTTCTTTTGGAATCCCAACATGTCCCCTAGCAAGATAAGGTACATTTTCCCATGTTTCCATGTTTTAACAACCTTATCTTGCCCATTATGTGTTGCATGCTTGAGATCTTGAATGCCCCATTTCTCCTTGGAATGACATCTTTGTGGCATAGGATTGTTTTTCTTCTCTTCAATGGACTTGCTATGCGATCTTTGAGACATTGGTGGTGTATTCTCATGCACGTACTTCATTTTCAAAAACCGCCCACCAAGTGTTCATAGAAATTCCCCAATTACATAGAGTTCATTCTTTTCAAACATATTGATTGAGCATCAACTTCATGGCATAAGGAGACTTGTGTTAGTTATCTCTACATTGTTTTGGGATACTCTAATGCTCATATTCTTGGAATTATCTCTCCATCTAAATTCACTCCCTTGCCCAAGATTTAGTTTCACTCAAGTGTGGGGGAACTTAGAAACTTTGTGATAATCATTACATAAAGTACTCTTTTTTATATATATGATGTTTAGATTGATGGTTTGCACATTAATTACTACTTGTTTTGAAGGATAAAATACAAGACTAGGGAGATGGCTCGAGATAGGAGTTCTTCTTCTCATACTTCTCATCCTCGATTGAGCCACCGGACGAAGACAATGAAATCCAAATAAAAAAAGGTAGTTTTTAAGGATACGCATCCACGGTTATCTGTTCCGCTTGTATCAAGAGACCTACATTGAGATAATCAAGTCAATATAGAAGGCGGCGTAGAGCACATCACTCATTACTTTTGGAACATATGCCCGAGCAATTCAATACCAAAATTTTGTGGCTACAAGGATTACCATTAGACGCGAGTACATGTCTCAACTCGATACTCTTCGCACAACTTGGCATTGAGGATGCAATCCGCTCTAAAGTCTAGAAGATGGAATAGCTCAAGTTGTTCTTTATTCAAGAAAATATTTATCAGCTGCTTGTTCTGGAGTTTATTAGCATGCTTACCATTCGGGATTTTTCCAGAAATAGCACTGTTTAAAAAAAATCCAAAAATAGCACCCAACTCCGAAAAATTCCAAAAATAGCACCCTTTCTGCAAAACCGCCACCTGTACCAGAGGTTTAGGCGAAAACCGCCACCCGGGGGCGCGTTTTTCGATGAAAACCGCACTGTTAGGGGACGGTTTTGCAAACCGCACCCCCACCATGCGGTCTGTTTTTTTTTTTTAAATCCTAACCTAGGTGGAAACTTCAAACGAACGCATCTTTGTGTTCGGGTATCCGATCTTCGCGAATTTTTTTTATTCCGCATAACCTCTATGGTTGGCTATCTTATCTATCTTCAAGCGCTATGAAACAGATCACCGTCTTACCACACTTCATGGAGGAGTCTTTGTCACTCGTCTAGCAATGTATTTCCAAGTCGACTTTGGAGCCGTTCAAATTCGATTGGATAGTAGGACCACTCCTATATCCTTCGAGGTATTATATTCAAAGCTCAAAGTCTTACACAAGAACGACGATGGCATTTGGGGAGTACAGGGACTTCCATTCCCAACTACTAATACATTGGACATGGAGGGTATTGTATTCCGTATTCCAGAAGCTAGGATGGCAAGGGAACGAAGAAGATTGGCAACCAAAAGAGATCAGAGAGTGTGCATGGAGGAGGAGAGGTGCCTATACCCACTCCTCAACCGGTTCACCCACCACATGACAATATAAGAGACTATCAAGTTGAAGCAATGATAGTGAAAATTCTTCCCAACCAAGAGCGATAGAAGGAAGCAAGACTCCATATTACTATTGACACCCAAAATTATTTTTGAGTCGAGCAATGTCGCGGAGAGTTTAAACGACACCACGAAGAGGCTCGACGGTATCGTGGTGCTGGAAACGACGTTGTTTGGTAAAAAAAGCAATGTCGCGAGAAACAGCACTGTTCAGACAATGCTGGTATTACTGTTGGAAGAGAAGTGTTTTTTTATTCCTTGTCGGAAGAGGAGAGAAACGACACCGTTTAGTGATAAGCAATGCCGCGGACGGTTTCAACGATGTCGTGGAGGTCAACGACATTGTCGAAATCCCAACAATGTCGCGAAACTGGCAAACAAAATCCCAACAATGACAAGGTTTTAATTCAAAAAATGACTTCGTGTTGGCCGAGGTCTTGAGAAAGGCCTATGTATTTTAATATTTATTTTTTTGCACAACGTTGTTTAGTTGAAAACGATGCTGCGAGAGGTACAAATAGCACCGCGGATCAGCAAACGATAGTGTTTAAAATAAAACAATGTCACTGAGGAAAAAGCAAACAGAGCTATTTGGGGATGAAAACAACACCACAAGGAAGCTCGACGGTACCGTAGTATTTGAAACAACATTGTTTTCTAGAAAACTATGTGTGAGTCATGGGCCGCAAGACTGGTGTTGATGTTGGAAAGGGAGTACTTTTTATTCCTTGTCTTAGGAGGAGAGAAACAGTACCGTTGGAGAAAAGTGATGTCGTGAATAGATAAAATGGCGTCACGAAGCTCAACAACATCGCAGGACTAGAAAATGATGTTGTTTAACTAAGAACGGTGAGGGATGAGAGTTTGACGGCGTGTCAACAATGATGGACGGTTTAATTAATGAGTATTCTACGATTATTTGGGACAATGTCGTTTAGTTGAATATGACACCGTGAGAGGTATCAGCAATGCCGTCGTATTGTTTGATTAAAACATTGTTGCAGTGGGTAAGGGCTTGGCCCAAGGGACGCCAAATCCAATAGACCCAAACAACACTACGGAGATATTAACGATGACGTTGTGCTAGGAAGCGATGTTGTTTAGCTAAAAACAACGTCGCGGTAATGAAAGTTCCTCAACGAGGAAGGGAGATCAAGCAGTTGTGATCAAGATTTGGTGGGGCCTAATATGATCCAAATTAGCCACTTCTAAAAGTCACTATTACTTGTCAAAGAAGCTATCAAGATTGGAAAGAAAAGAGGCAGAATTTGGTTAAGTGTTGGAACGATTTCGAGATGCCTACTTTGGAGGCATGGTTTTCACAATTGGCTAACTGAAAATTGGAGTTCAAGGGCTTGCTTTAAAGATAAACTTGCCATCTTTCCAATAGTATGATTTTTGGATCCAGAAGAAGTCATTAAGGTTGTTTTGCAGACCTCAAAGTTGCTACCTCAAAACTGGAAAACTGCCAGGAAATTGTTTAGTATAAATCTGTGATCGTGAAGAATACTTTGGAGCTCAATTCAAGGAGCATGGATTTGTTTCGAGACCAAAGGATTACACAACATGAACCTAGGAATGTTTATCTACCAAGGGAAGGAATTGGATGAAAGATTGAAGTTCTGGAAGGCCTCGAACGAAAGGCACGAAGTTAGTACGGAAGCTGCTTTTGGACCATTTCCTGGCAGCTTAAATCCGAATTTTGTGTCCTTTTTAGTGTAGACTTTTACCTTAATTGTTTCCTAGTTCTATTAGTTTTGTATTGTCTTTAAATAGCTTTCAATTTACGTTGTAATGGTTAGAAGATTATTGTTGAATGAAAATTGCTCCTACGTGAGTGTTTTGAGTTCTTGAGTGTGTCTCGAGAATTTACCTATTGTCTTTAGCTTCGAGTGGATTCCATAGCTAATTTCAAGACCCTTGTTCAAGATATTATGTGAAGGATTCTAGAATCGTTTAGCAAGTTCTCTTATCAATGGATTAATCACTTCGATTGTGGCGAGAATTTTACCTATCCATCTCTTATAGTTCGAGAGTTTGGTTTGTTGCGTTACTTTGATCAAAAGCACCCCCTGGTGCTTTATCAAGTGGCATAAGAGC